TCAACGGTTCGTGCACTTGCGAGTATCACAAGTTGAGGATGCAGTTGAGCCCATTTTGGTGCAGCTGAATCTACGCAACACACCACTTAACCATTCTATCCACATTCAACCATCTCGATGCACGGTAGACCGTGCTGGCACGCCCGCGCACAACCGCACCGCACCCAAAAGCAGGACGCCGCGTGTCGAAGCATATCCCCTCAGCCCGGCTACCCATGCCGCGAGATCTGCGCGGTAGACAGAGCCTTATGACAAAAATATACCCCTTACACTAGTCGATTCAAAGAGAATGACATCACGGGTAAAACTCATAGCTTTGACTTATGGGCTTTTACGGGCATCCGAGATCGTTTACTAGCCTGAAATTCAGTTTTAAAATTTTTACAGCTTTTGGAAACTCTGTTATTTTCCTATTTTAATTCCTTTGTTATTCCTAGGGTTTCTAGGAGTATTTAAACATACTTTACCCGTGGTTAAGGTTATGTTTTTATTTCCAGTTTATCAAATAAGCCTGAGGTTCTCTCATATTTCTCGATGGATTCTAGAGTTACATTTTTTAGGCTAAGGTTTTAGCTGATCAATTGTCATGATGCGTCAGTACTATGTAGAAGAGATGACGGAAGCAATTAAAGAGAAGTTGAAGAGATGCGCGCACAAAAGCAAATCGAGTAAGCTGCAGATTTGGCCTCCGAGCTCAAAATTGGGCCCATGACCAATCGATTCGAAGAGAATGGCGTCATAAGTAAAACTCATCGCTTTGCCATGATGTATGGGATTTTTTAAGCATCCGAGACGTTTATAAGCTAGAAATTCAATTTTAAAGTTTTTACTGTTTTTGGAAAGTTTGTTATTTTCCTATTTTAATTCCTTTGTTATTGCTAGGGTTTTCTAGGAGTATTTAAACATACTTTACCCTTAGTTAGGGTTATGTTTTTATTTTCAGTTTATCAAATAAACTTGAGGTTCTCTCATATTTCCTTATGGATTCTAGTGTTACATTTTTAGGCTAAGATTTTAGCCGATCAATTGTCACGTTGCGTCAATACTGGTGTATAAGAGATGGCGGAAGCAATTGAAGAGGACCTAGAGTGACACACGTGCAAAGGCAGATCGAGTAAGGTGTAGATTTGGGCTCTGAGCTTAGAATTGGGCCCATGACCAGTCAATTCGAAGAGAACGAAGTCATTAGTAAAACTCATCGCTTTGCCATGATGTATGGGATTTTTCTGGTGTCCGAGATTGTTTACTAGCCTGAAATTCAGTTTTAAAGGTTTTACAGTTTTTAGAAACTTTGTTATTTTCCTGTTTTAATTCGTTTGGTTTCTAGTTGTATTTAAACATACTTTTCCCATAGTTAGGGTTATGTTTTTATTTCCAGTTTATCAAAAAAACCTGAGGTTCACTCATATTTGCTGGTGGATTCTAGGGTTACATGTTTTAGGCTAAGGTTTTAGCCAATCCATTGTCACGCTGTGTCATTAACTTTTATAGTGAGTTAGTTTTTCCTCAAAGAAAAAGAAAAAAGATGCATTTTGTTTAATATTTTCCACGTAATAGTAGGAAGCCAGAGTTTAACAATAAATTATTCCATGCAAAGGAGCCACTAGTGTAGTGGTTTGAAACAATTGCTCCCTTAGGCAAGGTCATTGGGAGTCCTAGCACTGGTGTGTGTAGGTCCTCCCACAAAAAAAACAATAAATGATTGCATTTTCTAAAAATTTGATGATCACCTAGCTGACAAAGTCCATGTTAACTCCCCGTTGGAACCTAATAAGTTCAAATTTTCTTGAACATCACCTACATGCATCTCCTGTGGATACAGAAAAGGTCTGATAGGCATTTTTAGGCATTCAACATCTCCTCTTAGCATTTCTATGACTTTGTTCATGGAAGGCCGATCACTTGGCTTCATTTGAATACACCACAATGCAGTTATAACCATCTTTTTTATGATTTTCTTTTCCTCCTCATTAAAATCTCCCATCTCCAAGTCATTTCCCTTGTCATATTGGTCGTACGCCCATAATGGGAAGTAAGTTTGGCTTGAACGCCCTCCCATTGAACTGAAATTCTTCCTTCGGCTTGCCATTTCCATAAGCAACATTCCAAAACTATAGACATCAGCTTTGTATGAAACATCTCCAATATTTTTGTAGAACAACTCAGGAGCAATATAGCCCATTGTTCCCCTTGCTGCCGTCAAAGAGACAATGCTATTATCTACGGAATATAATTTCGCAAGCCCGAAGTCAGAAATCTTTGGGTTAAAGTTCTCATCAAGAAGAATGTTATGAGGCTTGATATCAAAATGTAGAATTTGCATGTCACAACCTTGATGCAGATATTCAATCCCTCGAGCCACTCCGAGAGAAATCTCGTACATTTTCTTGCAACTTAAAGGCATGTTTTCCAATTTGGAATAAATATATTTATCAAGAGAGCTATTTGGCATGAAGTCATATACTAGAGCACGATTTAATCCCTCAACACAATAACCAACAAGTTGCACCACATTAACATGGTGAATCCTTCCAATGGTAGCTACCTCACTTGTGAAGTCTTGCCCGTTACCTTTGGCCTTGCCCAAGAGTTTAATTGCTACAAAACGGCCACTGCGCAACTTCCCTTTGAATACAGAGCCATAACCGCCTTCACCTAACTTCTTCTTAAACTTACTAGTCATCTTTTTAATTTCTGAGTAAGAGTACCTTATTGGCAAAAAGTTGCTATCACTTTGTAGAAAATCTTCTATGATGCTATAACTCGACAAATGTCTTCTTCGCCATTTATAGATCACGAACGCAATCAGACATGGAACCCCAAAAATTAGTCTTGCTGAAAAAAATAAACCTGACAAGAGATATATACCAAAAAGAATCATGAGAAAACAAATTTATTGGTTAGATCAACTAATGCTTTCAACATTTTTCTTGTTGTTTTGTTTCAGAAATATGTATTCTTTGATGTCATTCAAGGGTAATATATACAAAAGCTCTTACCCAAGCAAATGAGTGGCACCCATCCACTTCCTGCAAGAAACATAGCAAAAGTGGGGACAAAATCAAAGACTTGACTATAGGTTTTCGAAAGGTGAACAAAATTCAAGAATTGATTATATGCAATAAATACAAGATCTTACTGATGTTTTTGAACGGAAACCATCGAGGTTTCCCTGCAAGAAATACAACAACGAATGTAAGTAAAAACAAAGACTTGACTGAGTTTGAATTGACCTTTTTTTTTATATTTATTTATCACAAGTTCATTAGTATCTCACAATTGCCGTGATGTAATTGACAAGAAAGAAAACGGAAAAGAAAAAGAAATAAAAGAAACTTTTGGGGAGAAAGTCCTTACCAATGTACACGTGTCCACGAAAAAAGAAAGCTATAGTGACCAAAAAAAAAACCAAAAGGAAAACCAAAAAAGAAACAACATTAGCACATCAAGTCATTACAATTTGAAATCCCTCTATCCCAGCCACAAACTGCATCATTGATCATGGAGGAATTGTTTTGTTATGTCTTGTTTTGAGCAATGTTCTCTTCCGAGACAAATATTTATGTTGTTAAATTGTGAATATGAACACTTATGAAAGAGTCAAATTTATGTATGGAATTCACAATCTGACGAGATAAAGCGGTTTATATTGCCATACAATTTAGAAAGAAAATTACATCTTATTTTAAACTTTTAATTGAGGATTTTGTTATAATATTTGGTATCACATTTCCTAGTGGAATCAAGCCTAAATTGAATTGGAACATGGGTAACAAGCTCCTTTTGTAGGTTCATTTTACACTAAAAAAATAAAAAATAATATATTGCCAGATAGAGAGAGTGCCTTTACCATAAATAGCCTCGCATAGAAATCGAAAGAAACCTACACAAACAAAGAAGAAGAAAACATATTAGCACACCAAGTCCTTGAACTTAAGGATCAATTACATTTTCCATTCTTGTGGTTTGATATACGTACAATTTGCCTGCGTCTATTAAAAATTGGCAAAAACAACCTTAAAGTTATGAAAGTGCTCTTATAGCAGTCACTATTACTTACCCTTGCCCTTTACCAAGGCACCATGAATGAAAGTGCTCTTATATGAATATTAGATTGATGTCAAGTGGGCCATTTTTCAATCCTCTTTTTATTTGTTGTCCCAATGACATATGGTGATCCACTAGAATGAACTTGGCTCTACGTAAGCAAAACATAAGCCGCAAGCCAGCAGCTATACCGGAAAAAGCAAAGTTTAACTTGAGGGTGCGTAGTGACTAATGATGTAAGAATTCTTAATTTAGGGTTTTCAATGCTAATTTTTTAAAAGATTGCTGTTCAGCTTTTATTATTTTTCTTGAAATTTGTTACATCTTAACCCAAGGAAAAAAAGTTTACCAAAGACTTCCTCTGTACCTGATAGTTTGATTATCTAGTAGTATCCAATGAGAACTTTATCATGTGCTGTAAGTTTATATATAATCAAAAATTTCGTAACACATTTAATTATGAGGTACATCGAGGAATTGTACCTCAAGTAATTAAAAATATTTAACTACTTGTACCTCAAGTAGTTAAATATTTGAAACATAATATATTAAATAAACTTAAGAAATTAAAAACCTAAACCCTAGCCGCCGCCATCCCAACTCCCTGCCTTCTTCTGGTTCTTCACCCAACAGATCACATCAAACTAAGAAAATCAACTTCCAAGAAATAAAATCAGAAAACCAAACCAAGTAATCAAAAGAATCATATCAAAAATCAACCCTCGAAACCAAATCATACCCAACCATTCTTCAGCCACCCAACTTTCTCTACACACTGGACACCAGTTTCACCACAGCCCCCACCCCCAGTTCAACCGTAACTTCCTAAAATCAATCAAAAAATTGAAAAACAAACCCACATCTCAAAGAGAGAGACGAAGAGATTTGTGGGTATGTGGATTGGATATTTGGGAGATGGGTGTTGATTCAAAGGTGTGGGTAGTTTGGTTATGGGGTTTGGATCTGGTATCAAATGATGTAAGTTGTTATGGGGTGGGGGTTATGGGGAAGAGAGAGAGAGAGTGGCAGGGCAGGCCTGTTAGAGGTGGTCTGAGAAATTGTTGAACCGAAGTGACAATGCCAGCGGGATTCAGGCGGCCATGGTTGTTGTTTACTGGGGTAACTCAGGGTGGGGGGCCTGGAAAGAGAGAGGACGAGAGATTTTTTTGGTTCTAAATTTTGATTTCTAATGAATTTAATTTAATATGACAAAAAAAATATGAATTAAAATTATAAAATTGAGTTTTTAATTTGTAATTAATAGTTTGACTGGAAATTGTTGTCCTCCCTGGAATTCAGACTAACTGTGATAAATATGCGTGACAAAAAAAAAAAGTAAAGTTAGACAAAACGAGTTTCAAAGCAAAGTGTAAAAATTTCAAAACAAAACTCCATTGTTTAAGCCTCAAAATGAATCCCAAGAATCAAAACCCTAAACTAGAATTCAGTTGTTAAACAGTAGTGTTTAGCCACCCCATGAATTTTATAAAAATACCTAGCTTTCCAAAAATTGTGAAATTTCATAAGCATAAGTCAGAGGTCTTAATCTACGTATTTTACAAATATTGAGTCATTTTATTATCGAATACTAGCCCAGTTAAGACTCCCAATCTGTTCCTGACTACAGCTATTAAGACATCCGATCCTGACCCAATCTACTTCATAAAGAATATGTAAAGAGTGCTGCTAAACGAACCCTAAAATTAACTGAGTACACCCTACTGTCAAACTATTTATTGAATTACTAATTTACCCTAATATAAAATGACCAAAAAGGATATATTAAATTGTGTACCCCAATATGTACACCATCCTTAAGACTTGACGCATGTCCATTGTTATAATTATGGTCAACTCTTTAATTTTAATCTTTTAAAGTATTTAAAACCAAAAAATAAAATAAAATTTTAAAAAGAGAAAAAAAGCTCTCTCTCCTTCCCGACCCACCTCACTCTGAGACGAGTTGAGATATGCTGTCCCCAAATTCCCAAACTACCAAATCTCCCTAAATTAGATTGAAAACCCACACATCTCTCGAAAGATTGAAGACAACATATTTAATTAAGAATTAAAATCTTTGTTTTATTGCTTGAGCTTTTGAACCCATGCCTTCAAACAAATTGACTTAATTTTTAACATACAACTCGGAATCCAGGAGAAGTGTATTGATCCCAATTGATTTTTGTATGCATAAAACTTAAACAATCAATAACACAAACCAAGTGGTGGTGGTCGCACAGGAGAGAGATAAAAGAAGATGAAGAAGAAGAAGCAAGAGAGAGAGAGAGAGAGAGAGAGTTTTGTTAAAATATTATTTTACTTCATTTGTTTATTTTAAATACTTTAAAAGATTTAAAATTAAAGAGGGTGTACCATGGGTATTTTTGGTAGTTAAATAGAGTGTACTTAGTTAATTTTACATTTTAATTTAAACATTATGGTGTACTTAGATCGTATGGTGTACTCAGTTAATTTTAGAGTTCGTTTAGCAGCACTCATATGTAAACGTCCCCGCAAGATTTTATAGTAGCCTTAACTTTTTACATCATATCAAAATTTGAGGTCAAACGGAAGAATATATTAAAAAAGTAAAAAGTCACTTTTTATCCCTATAATTTGCCACTTTTACAACTTTAATCCATATAGTTTCTATTTTGAACAATTCAAGGATAATCAGGAATTTTTACGAAAGATGTCTAACTTCTGTTACTTTTTGGACGTGCTCCTCAAATGAAGGGGCAATTGGGTCCAACCTTACCATACTCGGGATTAAAACTTGCGATGTGAGGTCGGCAAACCACGTAAATATCCCACCCTAATCAAATACTCCCGCCTATCAAGCATTTTGACTTCTCATTTCCTATTCCCTTCCGTTGTATCTCTCCTGAAAAGCTCCTTTTTTTCTTTTTATATGTTTTCCATCTGAACCTTCACTCCTCCCCACCCCATGATTGACCTCCCTTTAATTCTCACCTACAGTACACTTTTTTTTTTGGCTGGTCTGAATCTTCAGTCTTCCCGCTCCCTTTTTAATCTCAATTCTTTGGGGATTACAAAAGGCTTGGGTTTTTACAACTTTTCAACCCAAATTTGTCTTCCAATACATATTCACAAAATTTAGATAAGGATTTTTTAGAGAGTATTTGGAGGAGGGAGTGGGAGATGTGTTGATATGAGAGAGAGAGAGAGAGAGAGAGAGAGAGAGAGAGAGAGAGAGAGTACTGGGTAAAGAGAACCGAAGGGAAAAGGAAAAGGAAAGTCAATCATGGGTAGGGAGGATTGAAGTTTCAGACTAGTAAAAAAGAAGATAAAGTTGAGTTGGCGGTGCCTGTGGTGATGGATGATGATGATGATGATGAAGCATGAGAGAGATTGAGGTGGATAGGCTGGTGCTAAGAGCAAGTCCACCCAAAAGGCAAGGTAAGGGCTGCCACTATTTATGTGAATAGTAGCAGCCTTGCCTTTAGTTGGTTCCACCCCCAAAAGGCTAGGGTAAGGGTAAGGAAAGAAAAAAAAGAAGAATTATGTAACAAAATATAAACAATTTAGAAATGCACAAAATAAAATGATTATGGAAGAAAAAAAATAAATATAGAAGAAAATATAAACAATTTTACAAATGCAAAAAAAAATAAAAAATAAAAAAATTTACAATGTACAAATATTGGAAGGAGAAGAGTTTGTATGAGGATTTGGTGTGGAAAGTGAATAAAATTGTTATGTATTTATAAGGAAAACATCCATAATTTTTTAGTATTTTTTTCAATTTTTTTGCTCGCTGACATCAGCGCCTTCGGGCTGAAGCCCAGTCAAGATCTGCCTGTGGGCTTGCCCAGGCTGGTGGGTCCCATGCCTTGCGGGGGCTGTGTTTTGTGCACTGGAGGTCCAAACCTTGTTGTGTAGCACTGGACTTGCTCTAAGGAGAGCAAGGTCAATAGCAGTAAGTGGTTGGACCAAATTCCCCCTCCATGTGAGAAGTACATGTGCGAAAAGTAACAGAAGTCGGACACATTTGACAGAAATTCCCAATTATTCTTGAATTGCTCGAAATACAAACTATATGGACAAAATTAGAAGACTAAATGATAAAAATGAAACTACAGTGATCAAAAATAACTTTTTACCATTAAAAAGTAAGCCATTTAATTATTTGACAAAAACTATAAAGTTCGTACTTTCTTTATTCTCCTGCTTAAGTGGCTTGCATTGTAGGTGTTCGACGAAACTCCCAAACCAAAGTCACCTTTGTTTACACGCATTGTCTGATGTGTTAATTTATATATGTTGATCGTGGAGTATGAGGTGTTAATTTATTATATGTTGATGGTTGTTGAGAAAATTTCTTGTTGGGTGCAGGTGCCTCAGGTATCTTTTATCAATTGAAAATTTTAAAATTTAAGTTTAGGAGTAAAAGATGCATAAATTCAGAAATTTCAGTTTGTTTCTATCTTGAGTGGTAAAGTTGAAAAGCTGAATTAATTCTAACTGAGAGCTTCAATTTTTGTACTTTAGTTTAAAGTGCATCATTCTCTTGCTAGATTGTCTGACATTATTATTTGATACATTGTTAAATGTGCGAATAAGAATCATTTGTAATGTTTATTCTTTCTTGAATGTGTAGATTAGATTCATGATTTGACAACACAAGTATGTTCTTAATACTTCTAGTCAGGAGAAGTCTGAATTCCCCTAACTTCCTTCTATGCATTCTCATAAACTAAAAGTGCAACAAATTAGACATAGTCAAAAGCCATGGCCTAGAATTCACGTACCTGGGATGGTGTGTGGAAAACATTTAAGATTAGAACTCCATTGGCCATGGCAGATGGGAGGTATTTCATCAGGCCAAAATACTCCAAGCTCAAAGCCATACATGAGGGCGCTGTGTATGGATTCATAAGAGGTATTGTAGCCCTTAGAGTAGTTCAAGAGCGCCAAAGCCGACCACTCTGCACTGCAACCCTCGTTCAAATCCCCCACTTCCATAACCCCAACCTTCACATAACTGTACGTTTTTTGTTGAACCAAAGAAGAAGCATTGATATTCAAGCACGGAGCAGTGTCCACGTACAGAGAAGAATTCACTGGATTCGAACACTTGATGTAAAATACAGGTGTCGAAAGCAGTGCAGGTGTCGAAAGCAGTACACGTGTCGAAAGCAGTAAATCTGATATATTATGTACACTATATGGATCTCTAAAAAAAGGTGGAAAATTTTGAGGCATGGAGGAGCAATTGTTGTTCTGGAGGCCAGGATCTACGAGTCGGATTGTTTGGGTGTGGTAGTTGATTGCCTGGACATAGTACTTTCCTGAAGGAGGTAGGTCTACAACAAGTGTAATGTTGTTCTCACAGGACAGAGTATACATTACATTGCCGCAGTGCTTTGGATCATGTTTTAGTCGGAAAGGATAGCTTATGTTGTGGATATTGCCGCAGGAAGAGGTACACTTAGTACTACTATCAAAACCCACCCAGACAAGGCCAAGAACCTGCTTCCCATGGAGAGAGAGAGAGAGAGAGAGAGAGAGAGAGAGAGAGAGAGAGGCGTTGTCTGGTGTTGTATCTCTGGCTTCCATGAATTCATGTAAGTTGTAACTCTCGAGTGCAATGCTTGCGCATGTGTGACATATAAATTGTATCTCTGGTAAATTATACAATGCCATCTCATTTCATGAAAAGAACCGTTACTTTTCTAAGTCAACACTCCCTTAACAATAACCATTACAAGAAATTAGTCAAATTGACGTTAGAGAGTCAGTCAAATAGTCGACATAAGTTGACTGAAAATTTTATTGTGCCATTTCAGCCCGGTTTTGTTGACTTCTTGAGTTTGATTTTCCTTCTGTTTTGGTCCAAGTTTTGGCCTTGATTTGTATATTCATTTATTTACTGTAAAAGCGCCAAGCTTGTTTCCGATTTCTTGTGAGTGGTCGATTGAACAAGGTCAATTCATTGCTGTACTCGACATATCTATCCAAATACATCTGCTCAGGAAAAAAATCCAGTGCCACTTTATCTCAGAAATGCAGCGATTCCTCATCTCTTGCCTTTGCATACTATATATGGTTTTCGTCAAAGCGGTTGGAGCAGGACAAGATACGTGCACAGAATCTGAGTGCAGTGATGATCATGGCCTGGCTATCCATTTCCCGCTCCACCTCAGACATCATTGTGGTGGTCCTGGGCTTGAATGCAGTAGCAGACAGGAGAAGGTTCTTGAGGAGCAAGTAGCACTAATAAAATTGTTTGTCAAAAGCATAGATTACAAGCGTGGGCTAATCGAAGTATATAACACAGAGGACTGCCTGCTGTTAAAGCCCTTAGAAACCCCTAACATTCCAATCTCCCCCTTCCACTTATTCGATTTCGGTTCCATCATATTTAACCTTACCTTATTCCATTGTCCTACTCTTGCTGGAAGAGATACACCTAGGTTTCAAGTCCCCTGCCTCAGCGGCGGCCCTGGCTACAGAGTTTACGGCTTTTCTTCTGATTCTAGTTTGTTTTGGACCCTTCCGGCCCTACAGTCTTGTACAAGGATGTATGATGTTTTATCAGTTCCATTCGGGCGTTGGAATGGATATGGCAGCTATATTCTTCGCTTCAAATGGTCTGAACCAAATTGTACCAAATGTGAAGCGGAGGGCAAGAGGTGTAGATTGAACAAGAATGGCATCAAAAGTGAAGTTGAATGTATTCACTTGAGGAAAGCAAGTAAGGATTTGTTTCACATATATTCTGCTCAATTTTGTAGAGTTTCCAAAGTAAATCATATTTGCAAACTTGATGACCAATATAATAATCTGCTACCTGCTGGTTCAGGGTCATTTTCAGAAACATGACAATCTGATTTTGAAATTATGTTTATGTTTTATAGGCAAAACAATGGAATTCGTGGCAACGGGTGAGTTATCTAAGACTGGTCTTTTCTTTTGCTTTGTTTCATGTCGAGAAGACGTTGGAAGATGTGTGTTTGCTCAAGGATTGTATTTACTTGCAGGTGCAACGCTGGGTTCATCCCTTCTTTTAGTATTGCTCATTGCAGTGTATCGTATCTATAGCGCTGATCAAAAGGAGAAAGAGAATCAACTGAAAATCGAAAGGTTTTTAGAGGATTACAAAGCTCTCAAGCCAAGCAGATATTCATATGCAGATATTAAGAGGATCACAAACCAATTTAAGGACAAGTTGGGCCAAGGAGCCTATGGAACTGTTTTTAAAGGAAAGCTTTCTTCTGAATTCTTTGTTGCCGTGAAAGTACTTAACAATTCTAAGGGAAATGGGGAAGAGTTCGTAAACGAAGTGGGAATGATGGGCCATATCCACCACGTCAATGTAGTTCGCTTGGTTGGCTTTTGTGCTGATGGATTTAGACGAGCTCTTGTTTATGAGTTCTTCCCCAATGGTTCGCTGCAGGATTTCATTTCATCAGCGGATGGCAAGCACAGTTTCCTTGGTTGGGAAAAGTTGCATGATATTGCTGTAGGCATAGCCAAAGGAATTGAATATCTTCACCAGGGATGTGATCAACGAATCCTTCATTTTGATATCAAACCCCATAATGTTTTGCTAGACCACAACTTCACTCCAAAAATTTCTGATTTTGGTTTGGCCAAATTATGTTCCAAGGATCAAAGTATAGTGTCAATGACTACAGCTAGAGGCACCATGGGATACATTGCACCTGAAGTGTTCTCTAGGAATTTCGGAAATGTGTCTTACAAGTCAGATGTCTATAGTTTTGGAATGTTGTTGCTAGAGATGGTAGGAGGAAGGAAGAATATTGGTTCAAGCACAAAGAACACAAATGAAATTTACTACCCATAATGGATCTATAATCTTCTAGAAGGAGGAGATGACCTACGAATCCATATAGGAGATGACGGAGATGGTAAAATCCCGAAGACACTTGCAATTGTAGGGCTTTGGTGCATCCAATGGCACCCGGTGGATCGTCCATCTATGCAAATAGTGGTTCATATGTTAGAAGGAGGAGATAACTTGGTCATGCCTCCTAATCCTTTTGTCTCTGCAGGTCCTACAACAACACATGCAAGCATCCCAGCAAGACGGCTAGAGTTAGAAGCAATTCCTGAATTAGAGTAAAATGTATAAGTATATGTATACGCACCAATGTAAGTAATATTAAGGCTGCCTAATATTGACTACATATGTGCTCGAACTTGTTGAACATGTAATAATTCTAGCCTAAATTGAGGGAGTTGGATATTAGATATTTTATTCAAGAGACATAAGTTTTATTTTTTTGTTTTTTTTGTTGAGAATTTGGGAATCCTATCATTCAATAGAAAGGTGGTCCCCATAATTCTTATACTCTTTAAGATACCCGAAAAGGTCACTAGAGCATTCCCATTGGAGAAAAACTTCATTAGGGAGAGCCAAGCCATGTAGCAGATTGACTGGCAGGTTATACCAAGTTTTTAGAAAGTGTATATGTCACTAATCAGGCGATAAGCTAAGGAATTCCCTACCCAAGTTTTTCTCTCCAATTGATTTTGAGATATCGAAAACTTTCCAAACAACTAGCACTCCAACAACATCAATGGAGACCAAACTAATTATTCGGCAAAACTTTCTTTCAAATTTTAATTGAAAAAACAACACAAATCTTTGTTTTTCAAAGAAAGTATACTTTGAGGTAGGCCTCATCATTTGGCCCGCGGGCTCATGGGCTTACGGGGGCCCGCCCGGCCCATTGAAAAAAAGCCCGGCCCGGCCCGTTATGGGCTTTGAGAGGGCCCGGCCCGCTTGGGCTTGGGCCGGGCTTGGGCTTAGGTGTTTGAAGCCCGGCCCGGCCCATAGGCCCGGCCCGATTAAGCCCATGAAAGCCCGGCCCGGCCCGCCCACAAAAACCCGGCCCGTTAGGCCCGCATACATATATAATTATGTATAAATAAGGGTTTAGAATTAGGATTACATCACTTGAATGACAAATCTCCCTCTTTAATTTTTTTTTGTGTGTTACTTGTTATAAAAATTGTGTTTGTTTCCATTGAATTCTACTCATTCCTAGTTTATAATTGGATGATTAGCACATTAATTTGTGTCATTTATTAATACAACAATTATATATATATATATATATATATATATATAAGATGAATAACATATCATATCACCAAATATAATCATATCACGAAACATAATCGTACCACCAAATATAATCATGCTTTTCTTGAACACATCACCAA